AAAAAGTATTTTGTCTACTGCTCTACATATTGTCAGTGGCATTCATATGCATGTCAGATAACTTATGTAAAATTCCCAATTTCAAGTGACATATTTAGGGCATCAGGTGTGACTTTTGTTTCGGTGCAACTGAGGATTAAACTCAGGGCTTTATACATGCTTTGTAAGCACTGTACACAATCTACAACTCAGGCACATATTCAGTCTCCAGCATGATTTTGCAGGTATACACGCAAGTTACATATGACAGTGTTATCACAAGCCCAGTAGTTAGTACATGACATCTGTTAAAATATACATTGCAAATTATAGAATGGATGAAAATTCAAAATAGGTATGCAATATTGGCCAGGGAAGAACTTGCCTAAATAGATGCCAGATGAGTGTGTGGGCACATTGTCATCAAGGAAGGTTATCCCGAGGATATAGAGAGGCATTCCTGCTATCCCCTGAGCTATCTGTCCAAGAGTGAAAAAAGTTATGTATTTTGCTTGAAATGATGATTTGCTTCTCAGGCAGGTTGAAGATTGAACCTTTGTCATGCTGCAAATATCTTTTGAAAAGATAATAGTTTTATTTTTGTCAATAGAATTAAAAAGTTAAATATACAACAAACATGCAATAGTCTTTATCAAATACTTTCCTTCTACAAGCTGTTACCACTATAATACTTTTGTCTTTAGATAATATTTCATTGATGTTTAATTATGTCCAATAAGTAAGCATCTTATTCTCTAAAAATACCATTATATGATAATATTTTTGAAGCTACTGGAAGATACATGTATTATAAACTAAAACATAAATATGTGAGACCTTTGCAAATATAGGTGGCAGATATTTTCTCCCTAGTGTAAGAACCTGAAAAAGTAAATAAAATCTGAAAGGCACAATAGATACTGTGACAAACAAAGAAACTATTCAAAGGGAGGGCACAACTAGGATGAGGGAAAGGAGAACAGGAAGAAAGAAGGAAGGAAATATATGTATATATACAAAATAGCTTAAGTAATTGTATTAACTTCTCCTTTCAATAGACCAGTAGAAATCAGCAGTACCTTTCTACTGGTCTATTGAAAGGAGAAGCTAGTGCTTAATTTTCTTGTCTTCTTTTTAATTTTTTTGACCAATTGTGCATGCTTATATCTGGTAATGTGAGCAACTAGCTTGAAGATAACATCGTGCAATATAACAACCATTGTTGAACTCCTGTCATCACTTTTAGGGAAATTCTGCATCTTTTCTCATGGTTTTTCTAAGCTATTCTTTTCTCTCAAAACAAAAAACCCTTTAGAATAGAAGAATGAAACAAAAAATAAAGCAATGTTATTTTACGACCTGTACTTCTCATCCAATGCAAAACAGAAGAGTTAGGTGAAGAACGCCTCCACATCTGGAGTATCATGCAATGCATGCAAAATTGTTGGGGTGAAAGATCACTTTGAGAAGAAAATTAGCACCTGAAGTGGACAGACATAAATTTACTGTAGGGCTCATCAGCTGTCCAGGTGTAGATGTAGAAAAGGCAGAGTTGAGTCAATATGTTCATAGTGTAGGGACAGAGAAACCAGGTAAGGGGAATAATTAAAGCATCTTATGGAAGACGAAAGTAAACACCAACATTCGTAAATTCATACCACATGTGAAAATGAGAAATAAATTCAAGGAGTAATTATTCCAAAACATCCTTTTCTTTCCTCCATAGGCCTATATGGTCATGCTACATATATTCACTAATTATAGCAGTCAATAAACTTCATTATAAAAATAATGAGTACACAACAGGTATCACAGTGTGTTTTACATTTCTTGAGCCAATAATTTACGTGAATATTCCTTTGATGTATCACAGATTATTTGAAACTCTTACCTTCAGGTTTTATCTCTATTTTATAATCTTTAGTACCGAAGTACGGAAAAGCAAGTAAAAGTGATCCAAATCCTACCAAAAAGGAGGCAAATGCAATCCATTTGGTTCTGTTTCCACTACCTCCGTAGTATGCTATAAACAATGCCACCAGGCAAGAAGAAATATCGTAACTGAGGGTCAGTGCTGATTTCTCAGTGGTTGTCAGAACATGGTCTTGTTCAAAATCATTATTACTCATGACAGTAAGACCAAACACAATACCTAAGGTGTGAAAAGAAAAAAAAAGATAATAATATGGATCTTGGAGACAAAATATATCGTTATAATCATTTTGAAGCAAATCTTAATTTATACTAATTTTATTGTTGATTATTCTAAATCTTTACAACCCATTCACACATAGTGATTTCATGAATTTCTTTTCTAAAGCTTCATAAATTTTGACTTCTACTAAATATTTGCTAATTAATTTCTTTTCAGGAGGATGTAAAATTATTTATTAAAATTTCAGCTACACAGCACAAAAATATAAAAACTAACGCACAACTTTATAAAATGAGAAAAGTGAAACAATTCTCACAACAATTGTTCACCTCAGTAGTTTTAGCTCCCAGCACCCAAAGGTTATTTGTTGTTCTTAAATAAGTATCAAGATTAAAAATGAATTCATCTATTTTCTACTTTGTGGTATTGATATATAGTGAAAAGAATGTAAGTGCTGTAGAAAAAATAAAGGTGGATGAGACAAACCAAAAACAATGACATGGGGGAAAGGTCTTTAATATTGCTCATAGAAGGAAATCAAATATTACACCAATAATAATTCATCGTTATAAGCAGGGAAGCCATAGTATTTGTGCTAATTAAGTTTTTGAAGTCATTTTCAAATAATCTGAGTAATTTAATGAAGATTTTTAAAATGTTTTTTAGTAGTACATGTTTGTAGTATATGATGTTTGTATTCCTCGTGTGAAGTGAGTGCAGGTACATGGCACATGCCTTTTTTCTTTTTGTTCCATTCCTTTTTTCTTAATTCCTTCTTCGTCCCTGCTCCCTCCCTTTCCTCCATCTTTTCTCCTTTGAGAAAGACCTATCTCCCTACTTTCTATTATCTATCTTTTGCTTTGCTCTGTATTTATACTTTGGTTCTTTTCATAGAAGATCAATGATGCAACATTGAAACTTGTGTGTCTGATTTATTTCACTGAACATTATGATTTCAAAGGGCAGGAGAGGCTTTGGAGAAGAGAAATCCTTTTCCGCTGTTGGTGGACAGTAAACTAGTACAAGCACTAGGGAAATTAGTGGGGAGTCTCCTTAAAAACCTGAAGTCAAGAATTCCATGTAGGTATCTTCCTGGAAGAGTTAAAAAATACCCAGTGATATATACATACTCATCATAATGGTTGATATATTGTGCCAACTGGAGAAGTTTAGAAATTTAAGAAAGCAACTCAGGAGGGAGCCAGGATTCTTTCTTTGTAAACATCCTGAGCCTGTGCAAAAGGAAGGCATGAGCAGGCTGTGAGTGCTACACCCACCCAAGGGCAGGAAGCCTGCCTACAATTTAAGGGGGGAAAAGAGGCCTGCTTTCCCACTGTATGCTCTTCTTGCTGTTGCTGTCTTCTGTCACCTTGAACTGTTGCCCTCTGCCATGTGCTATCCTGCTTTGGAGCCAGTAGATTGTAGACTGATACCTCCACAAACTGTGAGCTAAATTTCTTCCTTAATTTTTGACATTGGCTATATTGTCTCAGCAACAAGACAAAAATAACCAAGGCACCCATGTTCACAAGCATATTCCTAATAGCTAAATCTTGAGACAGCCTGTATGAAGGCTAGTTGTTGCTGTAACATCTCTCTTAGTATTGGGCTGTATTTCAGTGTGTTATATTTCAATTATAAAAAACGTATGTAATCTCAGTTTATGTACTACCTAGAAATAGAAATAAAATATTAACTACAAGCTGCTGTACATGGTTTCGGGGTAAATCCTGAGGGGATTTGACTGACCTTGTCAAATACAAAAGTTGCATTTTTAGTTATAAAGGTCACTTTAACTTGGTCTTAGCTATCCAGCAGAAAAGTATAGCCACAAGGTATAAAAAGTAAAGCCATATTAATAGGCTGATCTGTAAAAGGCTCAATTCAACAACTTCTGACAATTGCTAGTTGTGCTGATAACCCACTACTATTATGGACTATTGGACTAAATCGGGTTATTTTGCTGAATTCAAGTACCTACAATATTTGAACTGACATTAAGTATGAAAAGGTCTTTTAAAGACTTCTCTAAGGGCCAGGGAGATGGCTCAGTGGACTAAGCACTTCCTTGGCAAGTGCAAGGGCCTGAGTTCAATCCTTGGTTCCGAAAAAAAAAAAAAAAAAGACTTCTCTAAATACAGGTTCTCTAACAGCAATGAAACACCCATCTCTGACAAAAATAAAACAAAAAAGGGGTTATAAATGAAGGACCATTTTGTAGTGCAAAAAAAAAATATATATATATATACATATATACACAAAATAAACAGAATAGATATATAGCTTCTTTCTCTTAATTCAATAAGAAGAAAGATTTGTACTAATATTGTTTAGACAAGATATCACGTCTGTATCTTGTACTCTGAATAAATACTAAAAAGACAACAATATGCAATGTATTAATTATTGTAACTGTCCTATAACCTGTTTTGAAACTGTCTCAGTGTTATGTCTTTCTCATTAAAATTTAATAAAAAATAGAAAAAATAGTAATTTTAAATAAAAAGAAATAAAATGTTATCATCGTAGTTGATGCCCAACATACGTTTCCAAATATATTACTGTCCTTCCTCTTCAAATCCAGTTACGTCAATCAGCTTTCCCGTCTCAAGGATACAGTACTCAATACCCACAACGCGTGCTAGTTTCAGTCATAGCAATCGCCACTGTTGATAAAATTCTCAATATCAGTCAGCTTCCTTCTTACTGGGAGTTAATAACTGATGCCCACAACTTAAAGGATGGGAGGCTTACATTGAAGGACAATTTCAGCAGATTCAGTCCATGAACAGGCGACTCGAAAGCAGAAGTATCATGGCAGCAGGACACAGCAGAGTACACCTACTTTGTCCATGGGGAGCCCAGAAAACAGAGCAGGGGAACAGTGCCCAAATACAGAGGCAAGGAATCACACGTACAAGTAATGCGCTGTCCTTATCCCCTGGCCTTCATGGCATTGCTGCGAGGCGCGATCTCTATGACCCACCCAGACACACAGCGTGCACGCCCTTCCCCCAGGAAGGTTCCCAAGTCACTCAAGTTGACAAAATTAAGCTTAACAGTCACACTAGGGTTCTCTATTTTGAATTGCCACTCCTGATCATTTTAAAGCTTGTTTTGGAAAATTATGTTCAATGCAAACAACATAAGGAATTGTTTTCTATGTTCTTCACCATTAAATAAATGGCAATGTGCATGCCTACCATTTAGCATAGTTAGGAAAAAATCATCACACTAAGTGTTTGAACAAAGAATAAATTGATATAGGGAATGGTTGCAAAAGTAAGACATTTATTTGAGTAACAAGGGAAATCATTACTAATTGTATAAAAGCTATTGGACCACAAGCCTCTGTCAGCCCTGCTACAGTTCAGAACTGCTATGAAAACCTTGGTTTGAGGAAGCCAGGGACCCACTCCCTTCCTAGTACTGTGAGAACCAGTCTAGTCACCTACTGCTCCTGCTGCCTGTGAAGCTGCCAGAGCCAGAAACCATGAGCATGGTGCCCCTGAATCACTCACTGTTGCCGCTGTTGAAATCACATTTACTCTCGAGTTTAAAGCCAGGAGCCTTCAATCATCTAGTAGTTCTCCTGCTGTCACAGCTCCACAGAGAGAAAAATAACTGAGTTTGCCTTCTGCCCCTTTTGCTGTCAACACTCCAGCCTCTCAGTGGCAGCACCTGAGTGAAAGCCAGCAGGAAGGGGACAGGCAAGGGCTCTCATAATACGGTTTACAGGCTGTCATGCCCACAGGACGGAGTTCAGAGGACAACACAAGAGTTTATGGCCAACAGACAAAAAATCTTCAGAGCTCATCCACCCTTCCAACTACTCAAGAAATCTTTTTACCCTTCACTCCCTATTTAAACATCCATGCCAAATAACAACACCAGCATGCTTTACCCTACCACATTTTAACTATATGCTTGCAAAGGTGTCTTCTTTGTCCCCAAGGAGACATATAACCCTATCAGTCAACATATTCATTGCACAAGACTAAGAAAATTTCATTTATTTATTTTTTTTCATTTAATAATGTTTTTATTTAATTAATGAAAGTTATTCAATGGTAATCGTTAAACAATTAAAAACATTACTTTGTGTTTAGCAGAACCAGGTGTTGCACTCAGGACCTTGCCCCCGCCAGGGAGGTTCTTATTCCACAGAGCCTTCTCACCGTCCCACCAAAATTAATTTTTTTTTATTTTTCAACAAATAATACACTGCATATATTCTTCTTAGTGGTTAATTGCTGTACAAGGTGCGGACTTGTGATCCTATTTACAAAAAAGCTACATATCAAAGTTAAATGCCAGTAATAAAGCAAATACATCATAGGCCTCATTAAATTTGTGAAAGAATTCTATGACTAATGAAACTACCAGCAATGTTGGTAGGCACTAGCTTAATAAATTAATACCATGAGGAGGCAAGAAATAGAAAACCTTGCTGCACTCAGGAGAAGAATTTTCTTCAACTCACTGAAGACACAGCAGCCAAGGAGGATACTGACCAAGACAAGAAAAAAGGCCTTTTATTAACCATGTCCAAGTCCAGAGAGGGAAGTACTAATCTGTCTTCTCATTGAAGCATATTCTATAATTTATGCACAAACTTAGAAGATTATCTACTATAAGTAAAGTATGAACACAAAAACAATGCAAAGAGACAAAGAATAAGAATATAAACACGTGTAAATAAAGATATAGGGGGTATTATATTCATGTGCATGTAGATAAAAGTAAATAACAGAAATTGCCTAGCTCTGTAATTTTTATTTCACCAAATTGTTATGAGACCACAGTTCTGTATTAGCAGCTTCTTTCTCTCCCCACTGAACCCTCTGCTCCCCCTTGATTCCACCTAACATACTGTACATGGGTTACTATCTCAAGGCCTTATCCTCGTCTTGTGGGACGGCATCCCAAACAGTTGATTGTGTCTGCTGGCTGCCATCCGATGCCCACAGGACATCAGACCACCCATTTCTGTTTTC